ATATACATACATATACATATATACATACATATACATATATATATATATATACATACATACATATATATATATACATACATACATATATATATATATATTATATATGTTGAATTGTTAGTTTTGAGTAACAATTTGTGTTGAGATTGGAGGCTACCGATTATCTTTTTGATTAAATTGATCGCTCGATCGACATTGAATCATCGTTATTATGGGCATTGAGTTGTTATTCTTATAGGCCAAAAGTTTATAGATTAGATCAACATGATATGTTATCGATTTTTCTATGTGCGAGAGAAAAAAATAATTGAGGACTTTCAATTTTTATTTCAGTTGTGCATTTACCTAAAATAAAAATATTATTATAATATTAATTTTATTAAAATATACTTACAATTGAGAAAAATAGTGATAATGGGACTGATGGGTTTGGAGTGAATGTATAAAATTTGCATTCCTAATTATATGATTAGTAAATTATTTTTTTCCTTTGGATTCTTATTTAATTTTAACCTTAGTGTAATGGTTTTCTTTGATTGAGTTCTGATGCATTATAATTTCCGATTTGAGATGCTTTAAGTCCAAATTAAACATTTGTATGAACTATGTTAGTTCACTTATCCTTAAAACATTTCTTTATCACTATGTATGATGTTGCCATAGCTAGTGATAAAATTAATAGTTAAACATGATAAATTTAGTATCCCCGATAAGAATCTACTAAGAAGTTTAAAATGCACTATGGACTTAATTACTTAAGAGAGGTAGTCAATCTACAGAGATGCTAGTTCCTTTTTAAGGCCAGACACTCTTCTATCCTATTTTCACTTTATATTTTGATTCTCTAGTAATTTGTATGGATCATCATGAGATTCGTGACCAAATTCTTATAGAGATGTAATATCTTTACCGGTGTCTTGATATATTTGATTTATAGATAATTTTAAACTTTGTTTAGACATTTTCCTTTGTATTGGTGAATAAGGGAGAGAAGATACTTATGTGATGATGACTTTTGATTGTTATTTAACTTATTCTACATGTGTCTATGTTTTTAAATTATGTTTATGTGTTTAACTAGAACTTTTGTTTATGAATCGTGGTTGACATTATGATAGAATCGTAATACTTAGATATTGTTTATGTTTGATAATGTTTATCTCAATATTATGAGTTTATGTTCGATAAATTGTTACGCCTAGATATTGTTTATTGTTGCATCTTGAGCTTGATATTGACAATATTAATAAAAAAATAATATTAAATTTTTTATTTGCTTGAATTCAATATATGTATTTAAAAGGGCATATTCTCTTTTCTTTTAAGTTCATGTATATATATATATATATATATATATATATATATAGACAATAAATGAGAGTCTTATTAAAACCTCTTTAACAATTAGTTATTATCATAAAAAAAAAGAAGAGATCATCGATATCATATTTTAATAATAAAAATATCGATGAATCGAAATAATTAATATTTTTTGAGATAAGTGATTTATAAAATATATCAACATTGAACATCGAGCCTAAGAGATTGGACAACATACTAGAAATGAGACATCGTGTTAGATAATATAATAATATGCTAAATTAGACATCGTGATTGTTGAATAAGGTTTTAGTTGATTTCATTTTGGATTGAATTAGATTAATATTGGGCTAGAATAAAGCCTTCTTGCAATTTTCAATAGAGTTAAAAGTTAGACAAACTTAGACCTTACTGGGGCTAAACACTTAGGCTTTGCAGTGTTGCAGACTTAGTTAATTGCAAATTGTGTTAAAAAAAGTAATTGCAAATTGTGTTAAAAAAAGTATTTAACTAGGGATCCTATAAGCAAATATTTCAGTAAACACTTAATAGATAATAGAAATTATAAACTAGACTTCACATGTTCTGAATAATCGCATGACAAACAGTCCATCATGATCAAAAGTCTCCATAAATGTCCACATAAATACTATTGTGGAATAAGACAGTGAACCAGTTATAAACAATACCCCAAAGGCTCATCCAGTCATGTGCTACCCAGGTAGCTCTAGGGTGTTATGCTAGCTAATACTCTGCAACACTCTAATGAGTTAAAAATACCTTTAAAATAGTTACTTATATGATCTATTTTTAGGTAATTTTACCTTTGTACGTGATTGCACATAACCTATATTTACAAGACTAAAATAACTACAAAACCCAACTAAAATAGGGCTAGCAAGTCTATTGTAAACCCTATATATGATGTGCAAAGTATAAATTGCTAGTCATAGGTGCCTTGCAAACCAATCACGTGAGTGATGACATATGTGACATGATACACAGTCTTTTTGTTTATTATTATTATAATATTTTCTCACCTTATATTGCTTGATGCATAAATATATTATGATATCCATGAATCTATGCAATAGAAATCTTATCGTGATGAGATTATGATAACAAGATCGATTCACTTTTAAACACAGACCTTAAATAATCCTAGTCATAGGTTACTTGAGAGGGATATCGAGATAACCGGATAAACTAGTGTGTTGTATACACATCATCTATATGATGGATGTAGTTGGTCTCATAGTTGCTCGTGTTGGGATACTAGGGCTACAGTGCAAGTGCTCATTGGAGAATGAGTTCATTGATTGATCCGCTCACGGAATGTTGGATGGTTGATGATACCTCATTGTCAAATAGCGATTCTGTTGTCCCAGTGGTGTACTTGGTTTTTATACTTGAGACACCAAAGATGTCTTATATGAGTACTCTACTCTTTGATACAAGAAGTTCCAAATCTAGGTTTGGAAGTTTCAGATCTAATACAATTGATCATCAGGAGTGGCAGCCAACCTTACGAGAACTATTGAGTGTCGATAGAGGATCATCCGCTCTCAATATCATGAGAGGAATATCTCATATGTTCTTGCTCAAACAAATCCTTGGCCAAGGTCATTCGAATTGAGAGAGAAAAAGTTCTCTGAGAGAATCCGATTAGAACAAGACTCGAGGAGAAACCATATGAGCCTGACAATATCATGCCCAATGTATGATATCTGAGATATTATATGGATAAGGGACTATAGGTACATGGTAACTAAAGAGATAGGTCTAAATCGTTGAACCGTGTGTGTTGTGTTGAATCTCGGATTTTGATGATGAAATCAATTGATGAGTTTATGATCTAATTTGTGTTTTTGAGTGACGCAGGATGCTTCAATCAAGGAGAGACAATTAAAGCAGGAAGAATCATGTTGGGCCGGAGAAAAACATGTCAGAAGATTGGACGTCGAGCCGAAGGATCGGTCGACGTATCGATAGAAGGCTACGAACCATGAATTCGAGCATCGGGCCAATAAGAGCAAATATTGCGCCAAGGAAATTGAAGTTACGGAGGTCAACTGGCCGATTGGGCAATAGGCCGCAAGAGAGAACGATGCATCGAAGAATCGGACGAAGCGTCGATGAACCAATGACATGCCAGGACAACATTTGATTAGCTTAGTAATAATTGTCTAGATCAAAGTAGGTTTTAACTATGCAGGATTAACTATGATAGCAAAACATAAAGCAAAATGAAGTCTCGGAGTCAAAGACGCGATTTCGTTGGGAGTTCGAGAGTTCGTCGGAAGTCCGAACGTTCGTCGAAAGTTCTGTCGGAATTGACTGAGAAGTCGGAACTCGCCAAGAAGATCGTCATGAAGTCCAGGAGCTTACCGGGAGTCCGCTGGAACATTGCCGAGAGATCGTCGAAAGTTCGCTGGAAGTTCACTGAAAGATCGTCGGAAGAAACCTAGACTTACGGACTTGTTTAGCTTAGTAAATATCTTAAATTTCGTAGTTAGCACATAATTAGGATTGAAATTGGGCCAACCCAATTAGGGGCTAGTTGGGCCCATGTATGGACTGTGTTGAGCCGAATGAAAGGCCCAAACAATGATCCAACATGTGGCACTATCATGACACAATCTCCGAGACTGTGTCAGGCGGTGGTACCGCTTGTCTGGGCGATGGTACCGCCCAATGTAAGTGTCAGGCGGTGGTACCGCCCAGACATAGTCTCTGAGAGACTGTCAGGCGGTGGTACTACCTAGTGTCAGGTTGTAGGCGGTGGTACCGCCCGTACCTTGAAATCTCGAGGATTTAAATTTTGGGCTCCAAATTTGAATCCATTTGGGGCCTATAAATACCCCACTCTTTCCTGCTTAGAATGACAAGAGTTGGGTAGAAAGAAGGAAAGAATCCTTGATGAAAAAGAGTTGAAAAAGCTTGAAAAGTGTTGAGTGTTCCCCTCCACCTCTTAGAGTTTAGAGTCCATTCTAAGAGAGGTATGAAACTTGTAAAGGTTCTCTCCTATGCTTGTCAAAAGGAGAATAGAGTTGTAAGAAGGTGGTTGGTCTTCGCCTATTGAAGGAAGATCGTTAGTGGATACCGGTGGCATCGACGAAAGAGGAATCGGTGGAGTGGATGTAGGTCACGACGACCGAACCACTATAAACTTGGTTTGCATTTCTTTCGAGCAATTTACTTTAACTGCAAACTTCCTTACTTGCTATACTCTTTCATACGCTTTCAATTTAAGCATCTTTACGAAACGATTTTAATTGAAATGAAAGATTTTTG